TCATGTGTGATTGTTTTGTTCTATCACTGGGGAATGGTGTGTGATCTTGAAGTTGACATTTATAGTTTTATGGCGTCATGTATGAAAGGACAAAGAGGTGAGGCTGAGAGATTTACTCTGTCGCTGCCTATGTGCCCATTCCCTTAGCGACGGGGAGGTCAGGGTATGACAGACGTCCATTTTGACCACATTGCTTTTGGGTCACACTCAGTCGCCACTGTAGGATGCTTTGTACTGTAAGTAACACCACAAGATGGGAGGACTAAGTCAGAGAAAGTCTGAGTGGAGGACAAAAATGGAGCAACTGAGACGGAAAGTAAAAAGAAAGCACTATTATCTTCAATGTCGACCTGTCTTTTGGTCAGTGGGTCCGTCACTTTGGTCCAGACTGAAATATCTGAACTGTTGGATTAATTGCCATAAAACAGTCATGGTGCCCAGAAGAATCCTACTGACTTTAATGATCCCTAGAGTTTTATTTTATGCCACCAGCATCACACTTTTCTCTAATTTTGGAAATATCTCAACATCTCCCAGATTAGTTGGCACAAAAGTTTCCATCATGACATTCATTGTCCTTCGACAATGTATCCTAATAACTTTGGTGATATCCTTACTTTCCATCAGGCAACCCCTTCTATCGAATCAAACTTTTAATTTGTCCAATACTTTGCTTTATAACCAAATATGTGCAAAACTAATGACATTGCTTCATCTTAAAGGACCAATGTGTATGATTTAGTGACATCTGGAAGAGTACCTGCTCTATCTGTAGATATAAAGGTCTGTAGATGGGTGCTTTAACATGTTAAATTTACATGATTTATAAGTGAGAGCTTGAAGAGAATTCCCATCAGTCTTATTTGAAAGGCTGCAGTAATTAATGTTTTATACTTGTCTTTATGATGGGAAAAGTAATATGGCACCAATGTGACATCAAAGTATGTACAAAGTAAGTCAGAAATAAAACTTCAGTTCCTGAACATTTCAAGAAAAGGATAACCATAATGAAAATTCAAACTAGAATTGTTTCTCTGCTTTTCATGAATTTCCTCAGTGTTGAATAACTTATATACAGATAATAGTGAAAGCATGGAGGAAGTCAACATGCCATTTGATTATTAGTCTAAGATGTGCAAAATTCACCAAACTCCCCCATCTGCTTCCATCAGTCATTGGCCCTGTGGTGGGCTACAGGTTGGAGGTCATGTATCAGGACAGGTTGGGGAGATGCTGTTTCCGGAAGACCCCCCTTATGGGTTCCCATCTGTCTGACAATGGAATGTCAGACAGTGTGTCTCATTTATCTGTAAACATAATCTGCAATCTGATCTGGCCCATAGCCTGAACAGAATCTGTGTCATAATCTGTCCCATGATATGCAAAAGACCCGACATATCCTACTGGCAAGTGTAACGTAGGAAACTTCCATTGCTGCAGTGAATTTTAACAGAAATAAATCAAAGGCAGAAATAACTTAAATTATCTTAAAGGCGAAAGAATGAGGTTTAGAGCTAGAAAGAGATGATGGAGGTGGCAAACTGAAACAGGTATTTGACATTTACTTTTAATTGATTAATGTACCCACTTAATGTTATTGTTTCTTCCTTTTAGTTCCTTGTTTCTATTATTTCATGGTTGAAATATTAACCTGTTTGCTGAGCAGCGTTGAGAAAGAATATCTAGTTGCACTTTAGGAAGGGAGCCCTATCCTTTTAAGAATACCTAAGACAGACTGGAGGAAAAACATGGTCTTTAAAAGGTTGCAGTAAAAGAAGATGGTCTAACGCTTGTAGTAAAGAATACTAAATCCTGAGTAGTTACAGCTACATTTGTGTGTAGATGTAACTGTAATATCTTTAAAAATGTTCTAAAGCCATAAGTTTTGTTTGTAGAATTAAATTACAAGACACAAATGTCAGAATTTCTCAAATCCTACTGTTAATAAATAACTTTGAATCAGGGCTCATATCAAAAACTATCATAGAATTACACGAGAACACAGTGCTGGATGTTAATTAGTTCCTACCTGAATTTTCATATCTAACTTTCTTAATTAGTCATTTATGATTAAATGTGAATCAGCTGTTATCAGCAATAGTCACAATTGGCTTTATATGGACTTGTAAGTTTTAGTTTTTGTCTCTTTTCAAGTACATCTTACTGCGGCTCTTACTGCAACTCCTAATACTCCCAATCTCTTTTAGTAAAGTCCAATAATGATAAAGTGATTTTCAACTGATATTTCACTCTTTGTTCACAAATTGCACAAAACAGAAGTCCTCCAAAACAAGAAGTGTGTGTGCCTTGTTGTAAAGTTGATGACTTTAACATGACAGTTCTTTAGAGAATAGCGAGTAGGGGAGAGAGTGAGTGCAGGGAAAGTTTGAGATGGAGATGGATGGTGTTTTATTTAGAAGGCAGGGGAGAAGTTCTCCTCATCTGTCGACTGCTGCACCTGTTCTCTGTTCACAGCAACCAAACAGGACTGACACTCCATCGCCCTGCGTGAAGCCACTGTGGGGAAGGACTAGAGAAAATGTACTGCGTATGACTCTGTGTGTGTCCGTGTGTGAAGCCTGTGTGTGTGTGTGTGTCCTCCGGTTCCGCCTCAGGACTGTGGTGTGTTGGGTCACTTTGGGTTCAGTCAGTTTGTGTTTTAGAGGGAAGAATAACGGAGGTTGATGTTAGGCCATGGAATTGTGGACTGTCAACATACATGCAAGGGTCACCTGGGTAAGGAGAACAACTAGTATTTAACAGCCCTAATATAAAGTTAGTGTATGTTTGAATTTATGGTTTTTGGTTTATTTTTTGTCTGTCCATCTATCAAAAGTGTTTTTTAACCTTAAAAAAAATTAAAAAATAAAAATTTGTATGGTTCTTTGTTGTCCCCAACAGTGTTGAGGAGTAAGATACTTGTAAAGTAACACTTATTAAATTACAAAATAAGAGTAAATATAATATGTTACAGTTACAAAAATATGTAGTTACATTAAAGTTACTTATTATTGGTAATAATATTGGTTATTACAAGGGGATATATCTAAATATATTATTTTCCGTACATAATAAGTTATATTACTTTGATGAAGTGATCAATTCAATTCTTTAACAGGGTAACTAGTAATCTGTAACCTATTGCATTTCAAAAGTAACCTAAGTGTAAAGAAGTAATGTTTTTTTCTTAAGGTATATACCATGATGCCAATATTACCACTTAGACACAAGAAATAAAAATTCTTGCTCAATTTTTCCCTGGATTTTTCTGAGCACATTCCTGCTCCCCAGGAGACGAACCACCTTTACAGATAAAAGTAAAAATTGTATGCACACTATATTTATTCTAACAGGGAGATCATCATGAAATTTGCTGAGCTCAGTCAGGTTACCAAGAGGCTAAATCCTTTTTTTTACAATGTCATGGCCTCTCCTGTAGCACTCACAGCTTAGCTTTTTTTAGTGCCTCAACAGGCAAGCAAACCCATGGGGCTAACACTTGGACTTTTACATTTTTTATGCATAGAAAATTGACATGCTTGCTGCTCTCCAGCTCTCCCCTTCTTCACATTCATTCAGTGTTGTAAAGCCACGCCTGGGAGCGGCCCTGTACGTCTATTGTTACCCAACAGCCCTGCAGGCATCTCAATGGTGACTGTGACAGGAGAGATCCCCTCCTACATCCCAGCTGGTGTGGACATCGCAACTGGTGACAAGCCCACTTCTCTCACCTCTAGGCAACAGTGACACTGTTAAACTCACATTGATGTGTGCGTATGTGCGTAGAAACATTATTTTTGTTTGCATGTGCATGATCAGGCACAGAGTTCTAATATCTGGCAGCTCCAGAAATGTTTTGGCTGTGAGCAGCCTGCCAAAAGCAGACGTGCCAAAGATAAAAGCCAGGCAGCTGGCGATACTCTGCCACATCTCAGCTGTCTCTGGTTGCTTGGTGAGGGTGGTGTTATTTGTACCCATGTGTGAATGTATGCAAACACTGAAAGTGCTAAAGAAAAAAACTCTTAACTGTTGATATCACTTGAATTCGTAAATTTGTACATTGTGTCAAATGTGTGTGTGTGTGTGTGTGTGTGTGTGTGTGTGTGTGTGTTTGTGCTAGTGTGTGAAATCATGCAATGTCAATGATATTTGTATAGCCTATGATCACATATTGGCTGGAGCAAACAAGCAGTCTAACTGTGAAGTTATTTTTCCTCCAATAACACAAACGGTATGTTGTCTGGGGCCACTTCTGTGTTTCATATTCATCAGTGATTTGCCCTTTTCTTATTTACCCTTACTGATTCATCTGTGCACTTGGGGGCAGTTGTGAACACAATATTGACATACCATCACCTATTAAATTGATATGGAAAGTTTGTTAGCAAACAGTTGCTTATTTACACATCCAGCAGTTATTCTTTAGAGTTTGTCTTTCTGTTTCTCGCCAAATGCTGAATGTAAGTCCAATATGGGCGGATGTGGCTCAAGTGGCAGAGTGGGACATCTGATAATGGGAGGGTCATTGGTTTGATTCATGGCTCCCCCTGTCCAGGCAAAGTGTCCTTGGGCAAGATACTGAACCCCAAATTGCTCCCGACGGCCTTGCTGTCAGTGTGTGTGTGTGTGTGTGTGTGTGTGTGTGCGTATGGGTGTATGGGTGGTTAGTGGCTTTGGATAGGAAACGCTGTATCGCTCCTGATGAGCAGTTGGCATCTTTCATGGCTGCCTGTGCTATTGTGTATGAATGTGAGTGTGAATGGGTGAATGTGACAAGCGCTTCGAGTGTTCAGCAGACCAGAAAAGCGCTGTATAAATAGTCCATTTACCATTTAATCACTCACGCTCTGTTTTTCTACCAACTCCTGAGGAATATCTGGCTCTTTGGCTGCTAAATGTTCCACCATGTTCACCAGCTAGTTGCTAACTGTGTCTGTTTGTTGTGTGGTGCTGAGCAGAGCTTTTGTTTCTGAAAACAGATCCTTGCTGCAGGTGAAAACAATGCCAAGAGTGGTGAGAGTGAACCAAAACAGCAACGCTGCAGGCCGACAAAATGAGCTGAAACTTGTTATAAAGCTTGGTAAAGCCCAGCGAACCAACAGACTCAGGTGATAATTCTCACATTTTCATTATAAGAAATTACAGCTGCTTCATGAACAAAGCAAAATTCTTTCAAAACTGGATTAATTCACAGTTTCTTGTGCTTCTAACTCTTCCAGTGAACTGCAATGAATGGTTTTACAGATTAGTTTGGACACAAGATACTTTGTTGTGTACTTTCTTGTTCCTTGAGTATAGGCTACTAGGGTGTCGCTGTTATTATTAGGGTGTTCAGAATGGATGCTGCTGCTATGTTGGTGGGTGTTAACACTACTGTGGTTGCTGCAGTTTTCTGTGTTGGTGGTTGCTTGTGTGTTTTTGTATGCTTGCTTGTTTGGGTGGCGATTCCTGTTTGCTAGAGAGGCGGAAACGCAATGAAAGCGTCCTGTCGTATCATGGAACACATGCAGAGAAAACCTTTATATTGCCGTGGCGGCTTAATCGCAAGTTCACCCGGGTTTCATGAAAAATGTGGCCAGCTGTTAACACAGTGGCAGTACAGAGCAGCTCACGGGAGTGGACATGTGCGAGTGTTAAACAGTGTTAAGCAGATAAATGCTCTCTTTCCTCGCCTCAGTAGAGGTTAGAATAACAAAAGCTTATTTATGTTGTGTATTTATTTTTTTATAAGGTAGTAACTATAAAATATTACTCTTCATCACCTTCCGTATCTAGCCGCCCACCCCATAGCTTCTGTTATCTCCTCCTCTGTTCCTCATCCACTCTCACATCCACTTGCCAGCCTGTGATGGTCTTGTGATCTCGCTTAACTTCTGTTCCTGCAAACATAGCCACTGTCCCTGTAGTGCTGCTCTGTGGCAGCTCATCCACACATTACAAATGTGTTTGACCCTCTGCGGAGCATTAGACAACACCCTTCTTTGTATTACTGTTGCTTTTTTCTCGACGCAGAAGCTTTAGAATCAGCTGCCTGAGCCTCAAACCCCCTTTGAACCGTCTGTTATTTTGTAACAGGTACACTGTTCTGAATTTCTGTTTATTGTTGGTTATTTTGAATCCATAAAGAATGATTGTATTTTTTTGTTTGAAAGATAAAATATTTCATATTCAAACATCTATCTGTTATTCCTGAGAACTCCTTATATTCAAAATTGATTCCTTTTATGTTTTTTCCAGTGTAAATGATTGATTCGCTAAGATTAATTCAGCAGCCATGCAAGCAGAGAAACTGTAACACAGTAACAAGGAGTTTAAGACTGTAGATTTGTTTAATTGGTTTTACACTTAATTATAAATAGATTTTGGAGTGTTAAAACTTGTGTTTGGGGTATTCTCAGTCTGAAACTAAATAAGTCTTAACAGCCAGAAAGCTCAACACCTGGTGAGAGTCAATTGTTGGCAAATTCTACTACTAAAAATAACAGGCAATGGAGATGAGCAATAATACCTCTTGTATTTTATTAATAGATTTGTGTGATATCAGTTTATTTCTATCACTACTACCACTAACACCACAATTACGTCTGTGACTGCGGAAGTGATACCAGCTTCAATACAACTGCTACAACAGCTGATGCAATTATACCAACCAGTTAAAACCACACTGTAGTTCAAAAGCGCTTAGTGGCAACATCATTTCACAGTACCAACTGTAAAAAGTGCAGTTGTTAATACCGCATTAAGTTCATGAAAATGTTCCTGACCTTTTCCTCTCCTTGGTGTCTCACTCTGTAATGAAAACTTTAATTCAATAAAACGGCCAAGGTCGATTTCTCCCCTCTCTGCACAGCACTGCACTGACCTGTCATATCCTCTCATACCATATAGCAGCTACACACACACACACACACACGCACGCACGCACGCACGCACACACACACACACACACACACACACACACACACACACACACACACACACACACAAGATGGTTCTTCCTAACCTCTCACACTGTCCACACGCTCCATAGACAACACTGTGTAATGGTCATGTAGCATTGGTTGCAAGGTTAAATTGTCCTTCTACTGATCAGCACTGTTGAGGCACTGAGAGGACTAACACGTCTACTCTCTTGCTCACTTATTTTTTTCTCTTCTGTCCTTCATCTTTGTTTCTCTCCCATTTACACAAATAATTATATAGTTGCCCACTTCTGCATTGGTTACCTTTTAATCTGATTGAATCTGTTATGCTAATGGTTTGTGAGCAGGTTTTGCAGGTATTTGCTCATAAACCAAAGTATTGCACAAATAAATTTAGACCTGATGATGGTGCAAAGTTAAAAATCAGGTCCACTAAAGTTATTACGCTTCATCTGGTGGGGAACATAATTGTGAGTACCAAATTCCATGGCAACCCACCCAATACTTGTTGAGGTATTTCACTCAATGTCAACCTTATAGAGGCGCTAGAGGAATAGTCAGAGGATCATTGAAAGCAATTTAAATCAGAAAAGACGACACAAGTTAACAAGAATGCAGAAGCTTAATGGGATCACCAAAGTCATTGGAATTCATCCTCTGGGCACCATGGATATCTGCTCCAAATGTCATAGCAATCCATCCAACAGTTGTTATTGAGATTAGGGTTTTAATTTTTCTGGGAACCTAAAGGTACACCCCCATGATGTGAGTGAATAAAACATGGTGTACTGCAGAAGATTTGTGTGACATGTTTTAATTTGTATAATAAGATCAAACTGGTCGACACCTATGTGTGTTTTCAAAGTAAGAAATGGTTGGACCAAGATTGTCTGTATAAAAATGATTGGCAATTCATCCAACGGTTGTTCAATTATTTCAGTCTGGACCAAAGTGGTGGACTGACTGACCGACAGATATTTGCCATTCCTACATGCAGCGGTGCAAGAAATTACTTTCCAGGCTTTCCATCCTTAGACCTCAGCTTTAAACTCTAACTAAAATGTGTGTTGCACAATGTACATAAAGTACAAATGAAAGAAATGACTGACTTTCTACAGCTCTGTCACACCTAATCATTAGCAAAAAATTATTGCCAGAAACGAAACAAAGATGCAACTTTTCACAAAGAAAAAAACATGACTGTGTTAACAATCAGGGTGGAAAATCAACACTACCCAACAGCCAAATGCCAGTAAACCTTGGCTATCACTGGTTCTCCCTTACCACAACACCAGGCATTTCTGCAGGTGCAATTCACAGTCCAATAACCACTCTGGAGAAATGACAATAAAGTTACTTTCACATTTTATCACATTTTCATCATATTTAATTATAACTTTGGACTGTGCTTGCTTAGAAACAGGATATTAGTAGTCTACAATACCAATATCATCTTAATTTCAATCTGTGTTTCTGTGTCTAGAAGCTTCATTAATACAAAATTATCCATCTGTTTCACACTGAACGCTCAGTGCAAGTGTGATCTACAGTGTGGGAGAATCAACTTTGAGTGCACGTGTAAGGTTGATTCAACGATACACCCAGCCAGCTCTTCCTCCTCCTCGTTAACCTCTTGTTTTTTGGTTTCCCTCCCAGCGAAGCGAGAGAAAGATGATGAACAGAATAGGAGGAGAGAGATGGACGAGTGATGTTCCCATTACTGCTCTGTTCATTTGAGCCCTGGAGGTGGGAAAAAGAGAGAGAGACAGACAGAGAGAGAGAGAGAGAGAGAGAGAGAGAGAGAGAGAGAGAGAGAGAGAGAGAGCTGTAATAGACTACTATACATTTCTGGACAGATGAGAGGAGTCTGAGTACTATTAGTCTGGGTCTGCCCAGAGGAAAGGAACATTAGAAAGCTGGAGGGACATTACAATTCACACACAATTCATTCACAGCACATGTATTCAAGCAGGATTTATAGTTTTCTTATATTAAGAATCTGTTAGCATCGGTGTGATCTAAATCTCCTGCAGGTAAAAAATTAATTGCCTTTTTCTCACATCTCTGATTTTGCATTCAGAGAGGAGACACGACTGGAAGACAGATGAAAGGCTACCTGAAGGACGACGATTCAAGAGATACTGTCAAACCTTTCTGATTGGCTTGATACGTGACCACATACACCAGAGTGTTAGCCGAGTGTGGATTGCTTTTCATGAACAAGAATATGGAAGGTACTTTATGTCAGTCAGTCAGCGGAGGAGACAGTGCTTTTAAAGCGGGAGGTGTCGGGGTCAAACAGCTTCAAACGGTTGATTATTTTTAGAGGCAATTATGCAGATATGTTTATCTCCGTTTATAGTTTAAGTAGATCTGTTGAGTGGTTGACTTTCATAGCCTTGTCAAAGCATAAATTAAAAAAAAAAAAAACACGTAGACATAAAGGCATGTTAAAAAGAGACCAAAGGGTAATCATCAGAAATTGTTCAAAATGTGTGATTAACTATCATAAAATGAAGCTAATGTGGTTACAATGTAGGAGGTAGAAGAGTTTTACAACTATATTAAGACAGATGCGTGTACGTCACAAAAAAGATAAACTGTTTCACCAACCTAGTCCTAATAATTTGTCATTACTTTTAATTAGCTGCCTTTTAAGCTTTTTCCAAATTTATTGCAAATGACTCACAATGTAAAAGTAAATAAATGAAGTCTAAACGAATATTCTCTTTATTCCCACGTGATATTGTGCTTTCAACACTTCACTGTTTTTTTTTTTTTTCACATATGATTTGGAGGTGAAACCGATATAAGGGTAGCTGAAATGTTATAATCGTTTATCACATTTACCAAGAAGTAACATCTGCATTATCTATCGTCACTGATGGAGTACTCAGATGCTTTATGTTAGTATTCAAATGTATACTTAGGTAAAGTGCAGAAGCATAATCAGCATAATGCACTTTAAAGCATTAAAAATAAAAGTACTCAAAACTGACTTCCAGATCTTAGCAATGAGTTAGAAGGATGATGGCAGAAACCACAAAAATAAAACAATACATTTCCCTAAAACAAAACCTATTTGATTCTAAAAATGGGGTCATTAGAAACAGAATGGTAACAGAGATACGTATTTATCATGAACACTTGAGTGTGCATGAGAAAATGCACCTACTCACACACATATTTAGCAAACTTTTAAGGCATTGACTTAAATTCCCTCCCTGCACGGTTAACCCTTCCCTAACCCCAATTACTAACCTTAACCTAACAATTAAGACAGAAACCACTTTACATCATGCCGAATGCAGAAGCAATAAAAGTCAAATGGGGACACCAATTTTGTTCCCAATTAGACATGCTGTCCCCAGTCAGCTGGTTAAAATTACCCCAGAAACCACACACACACACACACACACACACACACACACACACACACACACAGAGAGAGAGAGAGAGAGAGAGAGAGAGAGAGAGAACAACAGAAATGTCCAGGTATACCATGGGAAACCTCCCATGGGCAGGGTTTAGTTTGACTTTCATTTTCTAGCTATTGCATAGTCCCATTTTTTGTTCCTAAGGTTGCAGGGCACAAGAGATGGGGAGGGATGTAGAGCGTGAAGCCATTTAAGTGAGTTTGGGAGTCACACTGACAGTCTGCAAACCCCACAGAGATATTCATTACCTCTCCTTCTCCCATCTACACTCATGAAAAACACACTCTGTCCCTGCTGGAGGAATGCTTTAACAGATTCAGTCATAATATATTTCTCCTGTGAGTTTGATTATTTGACTTGGAAAAAAACACAGTAAAACATATGATACACTTGTTGCAGTAGAATTCAACTAGAGCTGGCAACAGTCTGTAGCACCGGAATAAATGCTCAAAAATACAGTGCAATCCAAGGTGGTCATAAATTTGTATTTGTCAGATAGGAGAGGAAGATACGGAGAAGATTTTTCAGTACATTATCCAGTAGATTACTTTTGAACTCTGTATCAGGCTTTTTTGCTTTTTGCTAGGGATGAGTGAGTGCACTTATCTGTATCTGTTCAACCAACTAAATGATCTGTATTCCTATCGGTTTTAGGCATAATTTAACTTCAGAGCAATGCTTTGGATGACGAAAGTAAGATAACTGTTTGTAAAAGATGCTATATTTACAAGTGTTTGATACTCATAAAAGGTACATTATCTGTACATAATGAGCGAGTACTCGCTCAACCCTGTTTTTTATTCATTAATTCTCCAACACCTGGGTTATTATCAATGTCTTTTTGTCAGGGGGACTTGTGCATAGAAGGTTTATTAATCTCTGTGTTGTTTCTTCTGGCACTAGGGTTCGGTATAATTAAATTTTTTCAATATCTTTTCAAATATTTTTCATACAAATGCTGATACAATACCAGAATTTCAGTATTGACACCAAAAGTTTATTTTTGAGATAAATATATGTATGGCTAACATGTTAATTCAATTCAATTCAATTTTGTTTGTATTGGCCAATTCATAACAGAAGTTATCTCAGGACACTTTTCAAATAGAGCAGGTCTAGACCGTACTCCCTATAAAATTATTTACAGAGACCCAACAGCTCCCACAGTGAGCAAGCACTTGGCAACGGCGGCAAGGAAAAACTTTATTTTAAGAGGCAGAAACCTTGGACAGACCCCAATAGCAAACAATGGCTAATTAATACATCCAGCAGACATTAGCATTTATGTCTACACTTCACTCTTCTTTTAGCTCTGTTTGGTCCAACTCCTGAAGCTATTAAGCTCTGTAGCAACTAAATGCTATCTACTATAAAACTATCTGAATTATTGCACAAGTAGCTTACTTGACAGTTTCTGATACTCGATACAGGCTAGGCTAGGGGAACCTTTTGGTTGGTACCAAAAAGTTATGAGTCGACAGAGTTCTCGATCAGAGTTTTTGCTTTACTCAATTTCTTGCAAAGAAATAAAAAAAGTTATATGAGATTAACAAAAAGGAGCCTTTTGAAACCGACCCAGACATAGCAGCAGTGTGTAATGTGATTACGGTGAATTAAAGAGTATTAAATGCTGCGCTGCAATTACTCCCTTACTGTGTGAGTGTTTGTAATAGATGAATTCATCAGGCTTTATTTAAACGCAGTGAGGCAAATGGCTCTCTCATCAGAAATGAAATCAGCATGAATAAATAAGTAAACAAACAAGAACAGCCGGGCTCAGTGGTGATGAGAAGTGCCTGCTCGCTGGTTATTAATCGATAGCAGCGGTTTCCATCTTCGATCCGGTTTTGTTTAACAAGTGGAGAACAGCGGCAGACGATTAGCGATTTCGGATGAATACTGCTAAAGCTTGCTGTCTGGTTGGATGTTAAGTATTGTTCACACTCAATTTCTCCCCTGCTTCTTTTGTTCACTGTCTGGCTTTTTTTGTTTTTTCTTCCTCTTGGTTTCTGTCTTTGCCTTCTTTGACCCATTTGATGGCCTCCTCAGTCTGCTCTTTCTTTTTACGCCTTTCTTTCTCTCCCCCGTTGCTGGTGTTCTGTCCCTCTTATCACCGTGTTGTTGTATCAGGTTAGCGGTCGATGGCGTGAGGTGACAGCAGACAGGTAAAGATGAATGGAGCCCTGGCTGAGCTCTGTGGGCTAAGGCGACGCTCCACACACGGATCAGTGACGGTGCTAATTCAGGCATAAACAAATTCAAAAGCAGACAAAGAAAGTAATGAAGCATGGCTGATTGGACAGTGCAGACAGAGTCCCCACACATCACGCAGACATGCACACACACACACACACACACACGTTAGTGATACCAGAAAGAGAGACACATGCACACATTAGAGATATAAAAGGCTGGCAAGTGTGCAGCTCTCCAGTGGGGCGTGTGCATGTTCACCTGTCAGAGCTTCACAGAGAACTGACCAAGTGTGTACATCCGTCTCAACCTCCGCCTCCTCCCCTCTTTTCTTTTTCCTTTCCTTTCTTGTCCACTCTTTCTTCTCCTTTTCTTTATCTTTTCCTGTCGCTTGTTTTCCTCGCATCTTTTCTCCTTTCCTTTCCCTCTCCTTTCTATTCCTTTAATTTCCTTTAATGTCCCCACATTTTTCTTCTTTATCGTATCATTTCCTCTGATTAGCTTCTCCTTCACTTTTTTGTTGAGTCATCTTTTTCCACCTTTCCTTTATCCTTTCCTAAGTTCTTTTGTTCATTTTCTCTCCTCTTTTCTTCTTTTCTTTTCTTCTTTTCCCTATTCTGTTGCTTTCCTGCTTGTTCTTGCCTTCTTCTCTCCTTTCCTTTATTTTCCTTCCCTTTTCTTTCTCCTCTGTTATCCTCCCATCCTTTATTCTTTTTTCTTTTCCCTTTCTTATATCCTTTCATTATTTCCCTTTTCACCTTTCCTGTTTTTTTCATTTGTCCTTTTTTCCCTTCCTCTCCCAGTCTCTCCTCATTTCTTTTACTTGTTTCCTGTCTTCCTTTTCCCCTTCTCCTCTTCTCTCCTCTCCTCTCCTCTCATTACATCCAAACCAGTGAGTCTGGTTTGATCTCTGCCTGATGGTGATCTCTCTCCCCGAGCGCTGACAGGTACGATGGGCTTCACATCATCAGCCCGCCGCCAGATGACTCAGGGAGAGTGATCAGAAAGTGCAATGTTCTCTCCTCTGTAAATGAACGGGCTCAGATATATGGAGAGTGGAAAGGAAACAAGCTAGTGCAGGTGAAGACATGCCAGTGAAAGGAAAGTGAATACGAGTACATATGTGTGTTAGAGAGAGAGGAGAGAGAGAGAGAGAGAGAGAGAGAGAGAGAGAGAGAGAGAGAGAGAGAGAGAGAGAGAGGGATTAAAGTCTAACCAGTAGAGACAAAGACACAAAATTACTTCAGTGGATGTCTCTTTCAGTGACTCAGAGGTAAATGAAGTTTACTACAACTTGTGCAGATTTGTTTTAACACATCAGTATCTCTCTTTTTTTGTTACAGTGCATGCAGGTCGCATACATGCACTAGAGCCCCTTTCAAGACTCTCCAAACTTTACAAGGTACATTACATTTCTGCGACTAATGTGTTGGGTTGCCGACACAGAGGGTTCCAGCAAATAAACTAAATTCAGCAAAGTGCTGATATGTGTAAGAACACACTCTGGATAGATCATAACATGAATTATTTCCCAATGATGAAATGATTCATTCTCACATTATGGCATCTGATAATCCTTCAATCTATCACTCAAACCAGCCTTCCTGGATCATAATTAATCGTCCCACTGGAGGCAACACTCGTGAAGTTATTATAACTAAGGTTCAGGAACAAGACCACACCTCACTCACTAATCCATGACCTGTGCTTCATTGATTCAACAACCTATTTCTCCAATTCAATCACCTGTGCATACCTATATACAGTAAGTGTGTCTAAAATCCCCAAATCCAGTTCTTCTTTTTCCCTTCTCAATAGGAAGCACAGCCTCTCTGTGGTCAGCTCTGCAGCCTCACCGGAAGATATAAGTAATTTTCCTTTTTCTTCTCTTTCAGAAACCACTGGGGATGATGAAGCCGTTCCTAGCCCAGTCACACCCTGACTCCAATTGACCCCCTATTCCTCTCCTTGACCCACTTCATCCCACCGTACACGACCCCCCTCCTAACCTCCCCTCACCAATATGAATAAACTACTTCTGATGCTGCCCTATGACGTAGTCTTTCTTAGTGAAATGTAGCCAATAACACAATGTTGTGATTACATTTTTAATTTGTTTTTTTTGTCAGACGTCTTTACAATCATAAAATAATCATTTCATTCATGCCTCAGTGCAACACAAGACGAGCTGTTAAAGCTGGTGTGACATATCGCAAATGGTGGCATTGTTAACAAATTATTGTCACTTGCAAATTGCAGATACATTTGCAAGTCCTACAGGGTCCTGCATGGGTCACATGTATGGTGTTTGTTTTAATTAGTGAAACGTGTCAGAATGGGCGAGAGGAAATTATCTCATCTTCTAAATCACACCTTGCATTTAGCTAATTTGGTGAAATGGGCCCCTGGTTAACAGGTTTATGAGCCGCGATCAAATTACTTTTTTATATTTGTTAAGTTTGGTTGTATTACTGTACAGTATGGGTAATCACAGCAGGGACAAAACAGTGGTTTGACTAGGCATCCTCCTGACCAGATGTTGATGCACAGTGTTTTTGTTTGTGGACTGAAAAAGGAGGAGGAAGAAGTGATTTAACAATTTTCCTATTCTTTAGGCATTTCAGTGTACATCTTCAACTACCACAACCTAGAAAACACCAGTGTGGATCCACATTGTTTTCACATGTAAAAAGCTTTTCCGATTTAACTGGCTTAGACTGGCTGACCTGATTTAGTTAGCAGGTGGACGAGTGTGTTTGTGAGACAGAGAGAAAGAGAGAGAGAGAGAGAGAGAGAGAGAGAGAGAGAGAGGGAGATGTTGTTCAGTGACTCTGTTCCACATGCCTGAAACTCACTCTAGAGAAATTGGTCTTGTCTCTAAAAGCAGGGATACTATCTTCCCTGTCTTACACACACACACACACACACACAGCACACACACACACACACACAGACACACACACACACACACACACACACACACACACACACACACACACACACACACACACACACACGGCTAGAAAACTCTATCAGTGTTGTCAGTGGTGGTTTGTGCTGACTCAGATAAGGTACACCCATCTTATCGTCTCCCTTATAGTGCAAGCTTGTCCAGATTCATCTGCTCTGCTCAGCTCTGATCTCTCTCTCTCTCTCTCTCTCTCTCTCTCACACACACACACACACACACACACACACACACTTTCTCTCTGGAAGGAGATGACCTTCCTCAGCTTTACTTATCACCTCTTATGTACTGATAGCTCTCATCTCTGATATCAGTTTAAATGATCGGCTTGTAAAGCTTGACTCTGTGATGTATTGATCAATAAATACAGACAAAAATATTATTTTTAAGTAGAAATCAGTCAGAAAACATCCAACAATAAAAGATAACACAAAATCCACTTTTTTGAGTTAAATGACCTGTACAGTTTATTACACTACTCTTATAATTGGTTCTGGTCGCATCCCATAGTGTTCATTAGACAGAAGTTATTTTCGTATTTCCTAGCTATTTTCCCCAACCAAATCTGACGTTTTCTGAGACACCATGTACCCAAACTCATGTGAACCCTCGCGGCTGCGCTGATGCGGCAAGCATTAACTTTTTTGCTTTACTGCTTTCAATTTCAGCTAGTAAGGAAGACGCTTTTGGCCATTTGAGTGAAATGCAAGCCATTACTGTCCAGTAAAACAAGAATTACATAATGTAACTACAGTTCTATGAATTCTGGATGATGGTCAGCCGTCATATCTAGGCATTAAAATGGCTGAAATAGGTTGCATGTGAGGTGCATCTTTTTATCTTCACAGCAGTTTAACACTTTCAGGATTTACATGACAAATCAACACATTAGAGAAGCTGCAGGGTGAGAATGTAAGTGAAAGGTCACAAGTACAGTTTCTGTTGCAGTGAATATGTCCCCTCTGAATTGCCCTTGCTCCAGAGTTCAACCCCTGTGGTGAACTGCCTGCGCTTTACAGTGATACACGAGGAAAGAATTTCTTAGCTACTGGTTGTGTAATATTTAAAGATTCTGACAGCTTAGAATAAGTATCAAGCTGTCCTGAGGAAGCATGTCAAATGCATTGTAGAACAGGAAATCAATGTCAAACCCAGAGGCAAAAAGTTGTTTCTCAAATGTTTGGGTTGACATTAGGCCGCTGTTCCAGCCCGGTGAGACGGAGGAGTTTGCATCTTGATCGGCTGTGTTTGTTTCAGCTACAAAACAATCACACAGTTTCCCCTGCCATTTATTGACTGATGCCTGAAAACTGTTTCTATCAAGAATAAGGATGAGTAAGAGTGAGAGTAAGTGTGTCTCAGCCTGTGTGTGTGTGTGTGTGTGTGTGTGTGTGTGTGTGTGTGTGCTGATAGACGATGTCTGCGGTCCTGATGAAGGTCGCTGTGTCCCTGTACTCACTGGGTCGGAATCATCATTCCAAATTTCTAATAGTCGCTGCTTCCTTGCTGATTTCCTCAGGGGTACAAACTGAAATGGACTTTGCTCAACTCAGGATACATCATATGTCTTTTTCTTTTTCTTTTCTCTTCCGGTCTTATGGCGGCCTTTTAGAGCATCTTGCACCAGTCATATATAAGTCATATGAAAAAAACATGCACTTTTAATGGACGTAATTTGATGGTGTGCAATTACCCGCAAGGATTACGCTGTAGCTGCAGACTGCAGCACTCTCCCTCAATACTAGACCAATTAAAAAAAATTTTTGTCTCCATTAGTCACTTTCACAAAAACATGGGGAAATAAAGTCCAGGTTGAAAAAATACAGAAGTTTAAGTGTTAAGTAAATGACATTAAAAAAGGCAAAGTTTACCAAGTGAGCTAATAATGAGTAGAAAAGACTAGCTGTTACAACTGTCCCATCTCCAACAGAGAATCCATCACACACACTGATATGTTAAAAAGGGTCAACAACTTTGAAAACCACCAGTCTTCATCAATAACATCCTAACTAATATCTTTCTCCCTTCTCTTCTCATTTGGCGGTCCTCCTCCAGGATAGCAGAGGGCTGAACCTCATTTTAACAGAGCAGGAAAAGACTCAGAGAGGGGTAAAGATCTGGCTGATAATAAGGCTGCTCTTGGCTACTGGGTCAGGAGGGTGGGACTGGTTAATTAGAAGGCTATGGTTTTGGCTTCTGTAGCCTGCGGTGTGTGTGCGTATGTGTATGTATGTGTCTTGTTGGCAGACTGGAGGATGTCTGTTCGCACTCTGTGATGATATGGCGTGTGTGTGTGGCCTGGTTCCTTGGCTGTAACGTTGGCAGATCATCGTGGGGTTTTGTTAATTTGCTGAAGTAATCATTGCCAAAACACCCCAGGAGCTGTCACCTTGGAAGGACAAGAGGAGAGGCGACAGTGTGTGCTTTATAGTGTCGTTCACAGGACGTCAGCAGGGCGACACCCGCTAATCACAGCTGCGGCTTTTATCTGATGACCTACAGCATATTTTCACACAGAAATCAAGATTCTCCAAAGAGCTGATTTATTTCTCGGTGGTGAGCACAGAGGACTTGTTGTTCCTCTGTGTTTCTGGTCGTGGCTGCATCCTGCGACTGATGATATATAGGCTGTGTACACACAACCCAGACCTGGGTGTGCCACATCGAAATTGCTCCCCGAAAAACTCATCGAGAGACTGGTGTGCCTCAGGATTGGAGCCTCTGGTCTAATAGAGATCGGTGACAGTTTGGAAGGGATGAAAAATCAGGCTGATCAATATGAAGCTGAGGAAAATGCCACATGAGGTGAATGACGTAGAACCACATCATCATTCTTCAACCCTGTCTGCTAGAAATTACGTTTATGTACTACTAATTTGTTTTTCCAAATATGTTGCAAATCATAATCTCTATGTTTGCATGTATTTCCCTCTGGTAAAGATCAAAAACAGAGGCACTGTGACAGTGACAGTGAATACTGGACTGGAAAAATAATGTTTCTCCATTATTGCTGGATTTTTAAATAAGAAATTTTTAGCTGACCAGCTTGACATATCAGCTTAAAAGGTCATGACATATCAATCTGTGTCAACAACGTGTTTCTGCTGCCCTCCAAGTGGCCAGAAAAATCTGTTCTTGCAAGTTTAAAGTTAAGGAAAGGCTGTGGTTTCAATTGAATGATAAAAAACACGGCTCACCTCTTGCTTCAAGTCACTGCAGATTTTTTCTGTATTAAACCGAGAGGATGCTGCAAGAACGTAAACATAGCCATAAAAAAGTTTAACAGTGCTGTAATTGTGACGAGCAGATATTGTATTCTGAGATTGGATATTGTAGGAAAACCAATGAAATATGTTATCAGTAAACATTCAGAGACATTCAGAATCAACACTTTGGCAACTCAATGCATCAGTTAACGCCATTTCCTCATTATGTTGATAAAAAATGATTTGCTTTTGCAAATAAGTTGTGTTTGAGTGTAATTTCTAGGAGAAAGGTTGCATTCTTCAGTCATCTGCGTTTTTTTACAGTTTGTGGAAGAATGAAATAATAGCCAGGTTTATTAGTGAATTAAAATATATAAAACTGAGGAATAGAAGATCTATTTCTGTAATTTGACTGAAAAATGGGTCCTTGATTTGTTAATTAAGATACAATCTGTCTCATTAAGTCACTTAGCTTCTTTTTAAAATTCCCTGACAACCAAAAGTTTTAACTTTACACCCAGAAGTGATGGTTTACGTCAAAGCATTTGTTACCCGTCATTGTCCCAGCTGTTTTGGAAAGTGGAAAATTCACTTTTAAGAGCAAGAAAGAACTTAAAGAACTTTTCCACATACTCTGGACACCATCTGTATTGTTCTGCTTATTTGATTTCCTTCTTCCTCGAAACAGATTTGAATCGGAGGCTCGGTCTGGATCTGGGCTTCCTGAATGGCCGAGCTCATTCCCTGCCTAGAGATGGGAGTGATTGTGGGAAGTGAGCCTGAAGATTGCTGAAGTAATTAACGTTCCTGCTGGCTGGCAGATCCAATCGTCTCGTCTCAGATACGAGAGGAGCTGCTGCACACGCACA